CCCCCCCCGGGCAAAAAATAATCTAGCTGGAATTAACCTATGAGCTATATACATTGAGTTTGGGTAAATAGCAACATAAACTTTTCCATCTTAGTTAATCTCTACTTCTTTTAACGAATACCAAGACTGGTAGAAATAATGTGGACAGCTCTTACTCTACTTTATTCCAGTAGGTCTATATTTCTCAGCACATATAATAATTGTAGTTCTTTTGCCACCATGAGCTGATGACTGTAACCATTAACATCTAAGGAAGGAAAGAAGTTATAGACCTTGCGGTTACCAGCATGATAAAGAGAATGCATACCTTCGACTTGCTTGAACATTCGTTGCTAATGTTCAAATTGAGCAACTTTCCCCCCGTTTTATAAAATGTCAAAGACACCTACCTACTTCAAAGTCATTTGTTTAGTACTATTGGTACGTTTTGAGTTTTGAGGCTTTTAGACCATTGGTAATGTGTTCCCCAGGCCCTATATATTTTTCTGATAGAATTGCAAGAAACCTAAAATTCGATATTTTTTCACCACACCCGTTGATTTCCCCGTTTCAAATCCCCGTACATCGCCTTAAGTAAAAAAAACCTCCCACACATACACAATGTAGGTCTAGTAGTAAGCAGCGTGTAATTATCAAAAGTCTCACTACTCACCGCAGACAACAGCGCCCCTCTTTTAAACCCATCGGCCTAAATTATGATTATTTACAGTAATTAACAGATATTATTCGTTTAGCGCAAATCCCCGCTCAACAGCTAGTTCTACGGGCTGTTCAATCTATACTGTTATGATAATACCCCTGCAGACCTGAGAGAATTCTGAAACAATCTCAACTCCCCTGGAAGCAAACAGTGTAAGCAGACATTAAAGGAGCTAAAACACTGACATGCTGACAAGATCTTTCGCTGGCTATAGCTGAGTCCCATTCCCGCCTGGGTAAAGTGAAGAAAATTCGGGTAACCTTTTCCAAGGACAGCACGATTACGAGTCCGGTAGCCCAACCACTAGACTACCGACGCAATTCAATTAAAGATTAAACTTTCTTATTATTTCATTTGTGACCCTAAAGTGATAATCTTTTAAAGAAACTTTCTCCACTAACACATTTTTTAGACATCTCTGCCCTATTTATAAAACTGAAAAATTGTAGTTCAAAAGTGACGAAGAGAATGGTCGTGTAGTATATAAGGGAGACGAGCGAGTGGAGCATGTGCTGTAGGGGAGGCAACTCCGTAATCATTTAAGTTTTTTTGGGGGAAGGGCCAATTGTCGCCCTTCTATGACGGACAGGATGGACTTCGTGTTGTGTTTCATGGTTTGAGACTATAAAATCTCTTGATCTAGACCTATGCTGATTTAAAGATGGAATGCACAACTTAATTGCAGTTCGCTATCCGCGTAAGGAACAAAATTTTGAAATCTCGGGTCTTAAGACAATTAACTTAAGCACAATCTTATAAATCAGATCTCACATTTTACTTTCCCTCAATAATTCATGGCAACTTAAATATAATTTGTTAAAATCAAGAGGGTAAAATGCGTATTAGTTTAATAATTTTTTTCTCCTCATTTTCTCGTCAAATTAATTAAAGAAAGAGAATAAGGGACAGTTCACAAATGACGTCAGTTAAAATCTGGCCAAAATGACCCC